GCATAAGAGGGAAGTTAACAAGGGGTCTAAGTCTGCTGGTTTCTTTTTTCTTTACTTCTTTGTAACACAGACATACAGGGCTTGAAAATTAGGGTTTAGGGTTTAGGGTTTAGGGTTTAGGGTTTAGGGTTTAGGGTTTTTGTTGTAGGGACTCTAATGGATAGTAGTCAGCTCGCCTTTCAATATCGAGAGAAAATTTCTCCTCCAACAAATCATCCTTGGGCATACTTCTCAGAGCCCGATAACGAGGTTAGGGTTTAGGGTTTAGGGTTTAGGGTTTAGGGTTTAGGGTTTGGGTATATTATTATATATATATATATTCGTGTATTCTTATATTTGCTTCTGTTATCCTGTTATACAATTAACTATCCACCAAACCCCTCCTAGTGTTTAATCCTTAATCTTCAATATTTAGGGTTTAGGGTTTAGGGTTTAGGGTTTAGGGTTTAGGGTTTGTGCAGGTTGAAGTAGGTGCTCGTGAGGCTCGTCATGGTACAAGTATGGAGACATTATTACCATGGTTAGTAGGGTTACGTATATCATTAATAGGTGAGGGTTTAGGGTTTAGATTAGGGGAGATAAAACCCTTAATAGATGATTGTTTATATTATGGTGTTATATTACTAGGTATAGAGATAACAGCAGCAAACACTAATTCTTTTCTTGCTGCTGTTGCTGCAGCAGGACCTATACATATTATTCAATCATTTAATTGTGGTGTATCTACACCTCTTATTAATTATATTAATAATTATATTATTAATAATAATAATATACAAAGAATTTATAATAAACAAATACTTCATGGATTAATTAACGATCCTTCTCTTATTAATAAATATAATTAATTAATTAATTAATTAATTAATTAATTAATTAATTTAATTAATTTAATTAATTAATTAATTATATTATCTTATTAATTAATTAATTATATTATCTTATTAATTAATTATATACAATATATTTATATATGTTGTTTATTATATACACTGTATAATTACTTATATGTATATATACATATATATATGTATATGTATTTATATGTATATACGTATTATATATATTATACATATATATAAATATATATGTATATATTTATATATAATAATATACATATATACATGTATATATGTGTATATATACATGCATATATATACATAATTATATATGTATTTATATACATATATTTTATATATTTATACGTAGTGTATATATATGTACATATATAAGTACGTATATATATACTATTTATATCATGGAGGAAGGAAGGAAAAAAAAAAACAAAAAAAAAAACACATATATTTATTTGTTTCTTTATTTAAATAAATAAACAATTTTAAATAAATAAATAAATTAATTAAATAAATTAAATAAAATAAATAAAATATATAAAATAGTTTTATTAATATTTACGGTGTATAGGCAGGTACACCACCGCATGCATGCATGCATGCATGCATGCATGCTGAGCACATTGGCTGATAGGTGTATAGAGGCGTAAAAGAGTAATAAAAGAATAAAATAAGTAGATAAAATAAAGTAAATAAATAATATAAATAAATAAATAAATTAATTAAATAAATAAATAAATAAATAAATAAAAAATAATAAGAGGGCTGTTCCGGGAATTGAACCCGGGACCTCTCGCACCCTAAGCGAGAATCATACCACTAGACTAAACAGCCATGGTGGCAACAAACCCTAAACCCTCCTAAACCCTCCTAAACCCTCCTAAACCCTCCTAAACCCTAATAAACCCTAATAAACCCTAATAAACCCTAATAACCCTAATAAACCCTAATAAACAATAGATAATAAACCCTTGGGTAGGGTTTGGTAGTATAATAAACCCTAATTATTTATTACCTTTATAATAAACCCCAGTGTATACCTAAACCCTAGGAGGGTATAAAAACCCCCCAAGGAGGTAAACCCTAAACCCTAACTTATTCTAAACCCTCATAAACCCTAATAAACCCTAGCAATCTTTAATAAACCCTCAATACCATGAATAAACCCTAGACTATACTACACCACCACACACACACACACTCGTAAACCCTTGTTTATGTTAGGGTTTACGTAAACCCTAATTACGCTAGGGTTTACGTGAACCCTAATTATATAAACCCTAAGACGAAAGGAGTAAACTAGATCTGCATAAACCCTAAAAAAGAATAAAAAAATGTTACCTGTCTGCGGATCTAGGGTTTAGGGTTTAGGGTTTAGGGTTTAGACTGTCTAGCTCTTCCTTCGTTTGTATAAATAAAAAGAATTAAAAAATATAATTAATAAAAAGAAAATATACACAGCAGCAACATAAGCAGCAGCAGCTACCTCAGTTGCTGCTGCTGCTGTTGCTGCTGCTGCTGCTGCTTTAGCCAGCAGCAACAGCAAGTGCATGCAGATCTACAATGCGTTGCATCAATTGGTGGGGAGTTTTATATAAATCTATATTTATTATTATTGGTGTACTTCCTTGCCCTGCAGCACCAGCAGCAGCAGCAGCAGCAGCAGCAGCAGAAGCAGAAGCAAATGTAGCAGCAGCAGCATCTCCCCTCCAGCAATTGATACAGTACAAGTAACAGAACGAGCAGCAGCAGCAGCAGCAGAAGCAGCAGCAGCAAGAAGTAGAGAGTAGTAGAAACAGCAACAAAGGACATAATACAGTCACTACCCGTTAATATATAATAAACCCTAAACCCTAAACCCTAAACCCTAAACCCTCACGTAGTGTAAATGAGAGGGAGTTATGCTTTGCTCCTTCATAGAGAAGAAATTCTGTCTTTGAATTAGACAGACGAAGACCAGGAAGAAAACTCTTAGAAAAATCCCTGCAAACCCTAAACCCTAAACCCTAAACCCTAATACACCAAACCCTAAACCCTAGAAACCCTAAACCCTAGAAACCCTAAACCCTAGATAACAACCAGTCGCCAGGAAAAAACCACATCGACGAATGAACACAAAACTATGAACACCGGGGACCCACCTAAACCCTAAACCCTCCAAACCCTAAACCCTCCAAACCCTAAACCCTCCAAACCCTAAACCCTAAACCCTAAACCCTAGCTTACCTATAAAGAATATGTTGATTAGCTTTTCCTTTTAATTCAATTTTAATGAAATTTACGCCCGGCAAATGAAAACCCCCGCAAGTTAATAAACGCTCTAATCGGTGAGTTGAAGCCATCCCTAAACCCTAAACCCTAAACCCTAAACCCTAAACCCTAAACCCTAAACCCTAAACCCTAAACCCTAAACACTAAATATTGAATTGGAAGGGAAGGCGGCAGGAACACAAATGAGGGAGACTGCTGCTGGAGATGTTGCTGCAACAGCAGTTGCTGCTGTATTGTTGCTGCAGCAGCAGCTAGGTGTTTATAGAAGTCGCTGCTGCTGCTGCTGCTCTTCCTGCTGCTGCTGTTGCTGCTGTTGTTGCTTCCTGTTGCTGTTGAATCTTCCCCATTCCTTTTTGCTGCTGCTTGTTCTGCTGCTGTACCCCTTGCTGCTGCTGCGGTTGCACCTGTTCCTTCTGCTACTGCTGCTGCTGCTCCTGCTCCTAGCCCTGCAGCACAGGGCTCCTATAATGGCATTTTAAATAAAATAATAAATTAAACAAAAATACAAAAAGACGAGAAAGAAGACAAGACAAAAAAAAGCATATAGCCGTCCTTCTGTACCCTGAGGGGCCCCCCTTACGGGGGGCCCCCCAAAGGGTCTTCTTGTCTTCTTGGGCAGGATAATAAAAGATAAATAATTAATTTATTTTATTTATTTTTTAATTATTTTTATTATTATTTTATTTAATCCCTTGTTGCTTTTTTCTGTTGTATTCCCCTTTAGGCAAACACCTCCTGTATAGTAAACCCTAAACCCTAAACCCTAAACCCTAATAGTAGGCACGAGTAGTGTTTTTCAAGGTTTATATAAATAATAAATCTATTTAGTGGTAAACCCTAATAATAGGGGTAATGGCTGCCCTGCAGCTCTAGTACTTGAAGAAAACCCTAAACCCTAAACCCTAAACCCTAAACCCTTCTAGCACACTAGATAAGAGAACCAAACCATTAATATTAAACAACAAGTTTTTAACAACAAAAACACCGAGTAAACCCTAAACCCTAAACCCTAAACCCTAGATGACTGCTAGACAACCCAATAAAAGCCTCCTTTGAGGGCTGGGTGCAGTTGGCAGTCCCCATAAAAACCCCAAACCCTAAACCCTAAACCCTAAACCCTAGCTTTTCTAACGGGGGCCCCCATCCCCGCCTTGGGGGCCCCTTAGATGCGTCTAAAAACAGCTGCGAAGGATGGGCGACCTTCTCGTGTTGCCTGAGCAGCAGCAGCAGCAGCAGCAGCAGCAGCAGAAGCATGCTAAGAGGAAGCAGCAGCAAAGCTACCAAAAGCAGCAGCAGCAGCAACAACAACAACAGCAGCAGCACCAGCACCATTCCTTAAGCGAACCACCACCAGCACCAGCACCAGCAGCAGCAGCAGCAGCAGCAGCAGCAGCAGCAGCAGCAGCAGCAGGACAAACCTTAATTCCTTCCTCTGTATGATTAAGAATAGAGAAGAGACAATTGTCTCCTTTTAATTCATCAGAAGAAACCTCAATAAATAATTTATGCATAGATAAGGACTGCAGCATCCATCTATGGACCTCCTCTACGTCTGTTGCTGCAGCAGCAGCAGCAGCAGCAGCAATAGCAGCAGCAGCAGGAGCATTAGTAATAACAGCAGAAGGTGTGGAGAGAAAAGTGGCAAAAAAAAGGCAAAAAACAGAAATTAAACCCTAAACCCTAAACCCTAAACCCTAAACCCTAAACACTCACCGGTGTATATAAGACCCCCGGGCTTCAATACGTACGCATAGAGGGTCAACAAGGGGGCGCTGCAGCAAACAGCAGCAGCAGGAGCAACAGCAGCAGCAGCAATAATAACAGGAAGCTAATGCAGACTACAAAAGCATAACCCATTAAACAACAAATTAGGGTTTAGGGTTTAGGGTTTAGGGTTTAGGGTTTAGGGTTTACCTGATGATTCTTCTCCTCCAATTATTTCTTTTAAAGTGTGGATCAGGAAAACAAAAGAACATCTTAGATACCTGAATACAACACGCGCTGCTGCTGCTGCTGCTGCTGTTGCTGCTGCTGCTGTTGCTGCTGCTGTTGCTGCTGCTGGGTATATTAGTGTTGCTGCTGCTGCTGCTGCTGTCACTAGCTCTTGTGCTTCAAGCTAAATTGCTCTAGTAAAGCCAGGCGCAGCAGCAGCAGCAGCAGCAAAATTAGCAGCAGCAGCAACAGAAAGATCAGCAGCAGCAGAAGCAACAGCAACAGCAGCAGCAGGAACAGCAGCAGCAGCAGCAGCAGCAGCAGGAATTACCTGTCCTTTCCTGAAGTAATTAAGAAGAAATTTTGTTGCATTTGTTCGAATCACCGACACATTCTGATACTGCAGCAGCAGCAGCAGCAGCAGCAGCAGCAGCACAATTCAGCAGTATAGGCACCTCAGTAGCAGCAGCAGCAGAGGAAACAGCAGCTACATAGTGTGCCTTGGATGCTGCTGTTGCTGTTGCTGCTGTTGCTGCTGCTGCTGTCTCACCAGCCCCTCTTCTTTGTGTTTATCCCTTAGTGCGCGAATTCTCTCCCCTACGTAGTTCGTCACCTGCAGCGGCAGCAGCAGCAGCAAAAGCAGCAGCAGCAGCAACACCAGTTGCAGCAGCTGCTACAACTGCAGTAGCAGCAACAGCAGCAGAGGTAGCATCAGCAACAACAGCAACACCATTAGCAGCAAAAGGAGCAGTAACAGCAGCAGCAGCAACAGAAGTAGCAGCAGCAACAGAAGCAGCAGCAGCAGCAGCAGCAGCAGCAGCAGCAGCAGCAGCAGCATGGCGGACCTTCTCTCTAATTTCAAGTCCCATGATGAGGGCCTCGGGGAACTTGGGTGCGAGGGAAACTGCAGCAGCAGCAGCAGCAGCAGCAGCAGCAAAAGCAGCAGTAGATAACAGCAGCAGCAGCAACAACAATAGCTGTAGCTACTGTAGCAGGAATAGCAGCAATTGCAGCAACAGCTGCAGCAGCAGGCAAGAGGCATACTTAGCAGCAGCACCAGCAATAACTGACGACACGATGAGCAGCAGCAACAACAGCAGCAACAGCAACAGCAGCAGCAGCAGCAACAGCAGCAGCAACAACTTACCCAAGAGGCCCCCAAACCCGCAGCCAATATCTAAGAAGTCGGGGGCCCTCCCAGCCAACCCATTCCTCTCCGGTGCTGCGGCAGCAACAGCAGCAGCAGCAGCAACAGCAGCAGCAGCAGCAACAGCAGCAGCAGCAGCAAATGAATCATAAACGTAAGCAGAAACAATGAGAAATGCAGCAGCAGCAAGACGAACAACAGCAGCAGCAGCAACAGCAACCCAAGCATTTTCTTGCAACAGCAGCCAACAGCAGCAGCAACGGCAGCAGTAGCAGCAGCAACAGCAGCAGCAGCAGCAGCACGAGCAGCTGTAAATCGTCTTACGAACAATAGCATCATAAGTAATAGGATAGTCCGTTGCTGTAAACAAACCACAAACCCTAAACCCTAAACCCTAAACCCTAAACCCTAAACCCTTAGACCCTAAACCCTAAACCCTAAACCCTATTCTTGAAAACCCGTCAACAAGCTCAACATCCCAACAGCAGCCCAACGCGTGCCAAACCCCAAACCCTAAACCCTAAACCCTAAACCCTAAACCCTTACTATTAAGGCATAAATGTTGAGGAGGAGAGACACCAAGAGGAAGAGGGAAATGAATTCCCCAATCAACAAAATCAGGAGAAGGAGGATAACATAAATAAGGATCCGCTAATGGGTTGCAGTGCTGCAGCAGCAGCAGCAGCAGCAGCAACAGCAGCAGCAGCAAAAACAGCAGAAGCACAAGAAGAAGAAGGAGGAATATGCGCTATATACAAACACACTGCTGATGCTGCTGCTACTGCGGGCACTATGGCTGCTGCTGCTGCAATTGCTGCTGGTGCTGCTGCTGCTGCAATTGCTGCTGCAGCAGCAGCAGCAAATAGAAGTGACTCTGCTGCTGCTAATGGGAAGCCGAGTCCTGCTCAAGCATATGCATGCAGGGGAAGCAACTTTAGCAGCAGCGCGAGCTACTGTTGGTGTTGCTGCTGCTGCCGCTGCTGCTGCTGCTGCTGCTGATGGGGTTTACTTACTGCACGTTGTCTGTACTCGGCCTTCTTGGGCGCCCGATGGCCTGATGGCGGCTCTGAAGAATCTCCCATTTGCGAGGGTCCAAAACCCTAAACCCTAAACCCTAAACACTAAACCCTAAACCCTCGATAAAGAGGGAGGCAGCAAACCTTGCTTGCGGGCTCAATTTCAATAATAAATTTATTCTTTATTTAGGGTTTTATTTATAACAAAAGGTTTAATTGTTATTTCCTGCTTAATAAACAAATACTAACAACAAGTATAAAGGAAGGGGGGCCCCCAAGGGGGCCCCCGGCCTGTGGGGCCCCCCGGTCCTTCGTATAACAGACCCGCTAAACCCTAAACCCTAAACCCTAAACCCTATAGACTAACAATATATAGCTGTTGTTTTTTTATTAAGTGTTTGTGCTTTGACCCCCCTAGCATCTTTTTGGCTGTAGTCACTCCCTAGTGGATTAGGGTTTACGATTAGGGTTTAGGGTTTAGGGTTTAGGGTTTAGGCTAGTACGGTTATATCTGCTATTTAGCTTCCATACGTGATCCATCAGCAGCACCATCAGCAGCTGCAGAATCCTCCTCCTCCTCCTCCTCATCATCATCATCAGCAGCAGCAGCAGCAGCAACAGCAACAGCAACAGCAGCAGCAGCAGCAGGAGCAGCAGGAGCAGAAGATGGTAACATTTATATGTTCTGTTTGTCAATCTACTCTTAAGAAAAAAGCAGCAGAAATACATCGATGTTTTTCTGCTTCTTTTTGTTGTGTTGATTGCATGCAAGAATTCACTCCTGCTGCATTAAGAGGACATACACAGTGTCTTACAGGTTAGGGTTTAGGGTTTAGGGTTTAGGGTTTAGGGTTTAGGGTTTGTTTTGGATTAGTTCTATCGAGGGTTTAGGGACAAAGGCATCTGTTGCTGCTATGCGAAGAGTCATATTCTCCTGCAGTCGTCAACAGCAGCAGCAGAAGCAGCAGCAACAGTTCCTGCTGCTGTTGCTGCTGCTGTTGCTGCTGCTGTTGCTGCACCTAACAACTGGTTTATTGTTTTGTTGCTGTTGCTGCCTGTGCTGCTGTTGTTGCAGAGCAGCAAAAGTTCCACGGGAAGTTTGCGAAGGGCGGAAAGCAGCAGCAGCAGCAGCAGCAGCAAAAGCAGCAGCAGCAGCAGCACACACAACAGCAGCAGCAGAAACAGCAGCAGCAGCAGCAGCAACAGGCTGCTTCTGCAGGCGGCAAACGAAAGGAGTGTGGAGGAAAAACCCATCAGCAGCAGCAGCAACAACAACAACAGCAGCAGCAGCAGCACAAGAAGCAAAAAAGAAGGGAGGAATCATCTGCAGCAGCAGCAGCAGAATTCGATTGGGCAGCAGCAGCAACAACTCTGCTGCAGCAGCAACCACAAAAACGCATGCATTGGAAAGAACTTGCAAAGCTTGTAAGGGTTTAGGGTTTAGGGTTTAGGGTTTAGGGTTTGGGGTATTATGGAGATTGGGTAGATGACCACAAAACCCCAAATGGATGAAGACACATGTTTCTGCTGCTGCTGCTGCTGTTGCTGCTGCTGCTGTTGCTGCTGCTGCTGCTGCTGCAGGTTGTTGAGCAGTACAAGGAGTTTGCTGGTCCTGTTGATGTTCCTAACAAGACGCTAAGGAAGCAATGCTTAGCAAATGTTAGCAAATATATTTGCTGCTGCTGCTGCTGCTGCTGATTTGCTGCTGCTGCTTCTGCTGCTGCTGCTGCGTTGTTGCTGCAGTTGCAGCTTTGCTGTTGTTGCTGATGATCTGCTTGTGCAGCTGCTGCTGTGCTGGACGTTTGCTGTTGCTGCACTGCTGCTGCATCGCTGCTGCTGCATCTCTGCTGCTGCTGCTGTTGCTGCCCGCATGTTGGTGCTGCTGCTTTGCTGCTGCTGCTGCTGCTGCTGCAGGTAGTGTTGGGTTATTGGGGTGTATGTGCAGGTACCTTTATCTTATACAAGTACTTCTTCTCCTTATATTTCTTTACCTTAATTAACTAATTTATTTGCGGTGTATGTACACCTGAATGCAGTTGCTGCTGACGACGGGTTGTCTGCTGCTGCAGATTAGGGTTTAGGGTTTAGGGTTTAGGGTTTAGGGTCTAGCTGTAGACGGGCAGGTTTAACAATGCGGTGGCAAACCGCCTTATTGCGCTGCTGCAGTTTGCTGCTGCTGCTGTTGCTTTGCTGCTGCTGCTGCTGATACTGCAGCTTAGCTGCTGCTGCTGCTGCTTCCCCTCTTCTCCCTAGTAGACAATGAGGGGGCCCTCGGCAACAATCCTGAGGGCCCTCCTAAACCCTAAACCCTAAACCCTAAACCCTAAACCTGGGCCTCTGTGGGGTAAATTCTCATGGCCAAAACGCCTGTGGCATAAACCCCTATTTACTAAACCCTAAACCCTAAACCCTCGCAAACTGGGTACAGTAAAGGGGGCCCCCCATGGGGGCCCCTAAATCCTTTAACAATATCTCTTGTACTGTACATATACGTGGTAGCGAATCGATTGTTTAGGGTTTAGGGTTTAGGGTTTAGGGTTTACGTTCTATAGTTAGAACTCATATGTTCAGCCTAACTGAAGGTGGAGGGTTTAGGCATATACTTAACAAGACGTTGACAGTACTAGGGATTATGTTTTAGGGTTTAGGGTTTAGGGTTTAGGGTTTACCGCTATCGAAGTTGATCTGGCGAGGGTTTGTAGGGTTTACAACATTACGGTTAGTGTTTTGTGGTAGAGACAACAGTATGCTACATAATTGATTAGGGTTTAGGGTTTAGGGTTTAGGGTTTAGTGTTTATATTTATAATTAACCCAGCCCCATACCGCAACCGACTCGAGCCTTGTCCGTGCTGGGGGCGCACGGACTAGGGTTTAGGGTTTAGGGTTTAGGGTTTAGGGTTTGGAAATTGCGGATTTTTTAAGTTTTTTCTGTTTAGGGTTTATTGTTTTATTTTAGGGTTTGTGGTTTTGCCAACCCCTGTGGGATTGCCCTCTCTGCTGCTGCTGCACTGAGGACTATGCAGCAGCAGGGCCAGCAGCAGCAGCAGCAGCTGCTGCTGCTGCTGCACTCGCAGAGGGCTCTGCGAGGGATTTTTATGCTGCTGCTGCTGCTGCTGGTCCTTGCTGGAGGGCCAATGATCCCATACACTGCAGCACCATTAGCAGCAGCAGCAGCAGCCAATGGTGCTGATGGTGTGCAGCCGCAGCAGCAGCACCAAGGTGAGGGGTTAGCTGCTGCAGGAGCAGCAGAAGGTAGAAATCCCTCAGCAGCAACAGCAGCAGCAGCAGCAGCAGCAGAAACGGCTGCTGCTGAGACAACTGCAGCTCCATCTGCAGGTGGAGGATCGATGCAGCAGCTGAAGCAGCTGCAGTTGCTGCAGCAGCTGCAGCAAATGCAGCAGCAGCTAAAGCAGTTGAAGCAGCAGCAGCAAGAGCAGCCGCAACAACAAAGGGCAGCTGGTGTGCTGCCAACACAGCTGCAGCAGCAACTGCAGCAGTTGCAGCAGCTGCAAAGGCTGCAGTTGCTGCAACGGTCGTTAGATGCCCCATCACAGGTGCAGCAGCAGCCGCAGCAGTTACAGCAGCTGCAGCAGCTGCAGCAGCTGCAACAGCAGCAAAGGCGGCAGCAGCAGCAGCCACAGAAGCAAGGGAGACCTGAGCGTCAGGTATTGCAACAGTTGCAGGGAATTATGGAGAATGAGCAGCAGGCAGGCAGCCAGCAGCAGCAGCAGCAGCAACTGCAGCAGCAGCAGCAGCAGCAGCAGCGGCCACTCTTGAAGGACAGCAAATTTTCTGGGGGATTAAATATTGAGGGCGTCTTAGCCTTAGCTAAGGCTGCCTTAGAGAAGAATATTGCTGCTGCTGCTGCACCTGGTGCTGCTGCTGCTGCTGCTGCTGCTTCTGATCCTCCTGCTGCTCCGTCTGTTGCTGTTGCCAGTCTGCTGTCTGAGCCGCAACCGCTGCAGGATGCAGCAGCAGCAGCAGCAGCAGGGATGGAGGCAGCAGAGGATCCAGATATGAATATAGTGCAGCAGCTGCAGCAACTCATAGAAAGCAGCAACAGCAGCAGCAGCAGCAGCACGGATGATGACGATGAAGAACATTACTGCAAAGTTCTTGCAGAACACAAAGGCGACGAACCTATACCTGTAAACCCTAAACCCTAAACCCTAAACCCTCAAGTTGGCAAATGCTTTGCTTCACCAGTAGCTGCCGCAGTGGCTTCCAGGTCGCAGAAGAATTAGGGTTTAGGGTTTAGGGTTTAGTGCAACGAGCCATCGCTCATTGATAGGTTAGGGTTTGGTGGCATTGATATAAAGTGTTTAGGGTTTAGGGTTTCAGTGACTCCATGGCCAACCTGCTTTCTAAGTTTCACATTTTAGGGTTTAGGGTTTAGGGTTTAGGGTTTAGGGTTTAGGGTTTAGGGTTTTTTTTTTTCAGGTAGAGTTTGGCAGTTTGGATGAATTTGTGAATTCTGCGGATATTTTTTCGCGTTTACATCGTTATAAATTACCAATAAAAGAAATAAAAAAAAAAATAAATAATATAAACCCTTTTTTTAATACAACAAACCCTCAACAATCTAACCCTCTACTCTCTGTATTCCTTACAGCAGAGTCACCTCTACAGGTATGTCTAGGGTTTAGGGTTTTTGGGTTTAGGATTTGGTGTTTAGGGTTTAGGGTTTCCGGGTAAATGTTTAGTTTCTAGGGTCTAGGGTCCAGGGTTTAGGGTTTATTGCTGATTAGCTTTTATTTGGGTTTATTAGGGTTTGTGTTTTGGCACTATGTGGTCATCTAGGGTTGAGGGTTTAGGTTTTAGGGTTTAGGGTTTAGGGTTTGTGTGTCTGGTGCAGACTGTGCGTCTGTTGGTGTTTTGGGCATCAAACGATTTAGGGTTTTGTCGTGACCTTCGTGATGTTTCTTCTGCTGGTAGTGTGTATTCTTTTTTATCAATAAAAGAAGAAATAATTAATTCTTCTTCTTCTTTTATTAATAATAATAATAAGGACAATATAAACCCTGATTCACAAACCCTCTTCTTCTTTGCTGTCTGTGATAAACCCTGCAAACCCCATCTTACTATTCGCATACATTCAAACCCTCAACAGGATAACCAGGCTGAAGAGATACAAGTACGAAACGAGGGTTTAGGGTTTAGGGTTTAGGGTTTGGGGTTTAGGGTTTATTGTTTATTGGCATGAGGTCTCATTGAATCTTTAAGTTTGCATGTGTATTCTGTCTCGGTGGTTAGCTGAGGGTTTAGGGTTTCGCTGTTGTATTATTCTTTTCGTGTTGATAAGGGTTTAGGGTTTAGGGTTTAGGGTTTGGTGTTTTTGTATACAGTGTTCAAGGGAGGGCCCCGAGGGGCCCCTTGTTTGCGGAGGGGTTGAAGGGAGGGCCTCCCGTCGTCTTCCTTCTTTGTTTGTTTTTAATTGTACAAAAGAAAAAGGATGTTATGCAGGAACAGAGCCAGGAGAGCAAGATATGCTCTATATCGTAAACCCTAAACCCTAAACACTAAACCCTAGACTTCAAATAATTCAAAGATGTATTAAACATCCAAAAAACCCCAAACAACCCTAAACCCTAAACACTCCTAAACCCTATTTTGCACTGCGTAACCCCGACGAACTCCTTGCTACCTACACAAACGCTCCGTTGAACTTTCCTTCCCTAGGGTTTAGGGTTTAGGGTTTAAGGTTTAGGGTTTAGGGTTTGTTGCGTATACAGACACTAAGCGAGAGGTCACCAAGCAGTCCTCAAGAAACACAAGAAACTTCTCCTTTCTCTCTTCTTGCTGCTTGGGACTGTTGGCCACAAACCCCCTCTGACCAGGGGGCCCCCGATGGGGGGCCCCCCAATAGTGGGGGGGGCCCCCAAGGGGAGAACCCTGCATGCGAAACAGTTGCAGCACAAGGGTTTCTTGATGGGACACATTTCCTCTCTGTTCGCCCTAGTAAGCTGCAGACTCAACCCTAAACCCTAAACCCTAGGAGGGGTTTACTCCTCCCTAGGGTTTAGGGTTTAGGGATTAGGGTTTATTATGGTTTAGGGTTATGGGCTTTTGTTCCGCGTCATGGGCCAATCGTTGGATGTGTATTGTTTGCGTGTTGCGCATGAAATAATATTGTATGAGAATTAGGGTTTAGGGTTTAGGGTTTAGGGTTTATGTTCTGTTTGTGTGTATATATTGAACAGAAAAAGATGGGGAATTACGTCTGGCTGTGCTGCTGCGGTCTTCTGCTGCTCCTCGTGAATTCTTCTTATCCTTAGCAGCACCAGCAGCACTAACAAGTCTTACTATGGAGAAACCCTTAGATTTTATTATGCCTGCTGGTAAACCCTAAACCCTAAACCCTAAACACTAATTCTTTAATTTGACACTAACAGTACAGTATAGCAGCAGTTGCAGGTCTAAACACTAAACCCTTCTCGTTACACCGCAGACCCTAAACCCTAAACCCTCGTCGTCGTTCTTTTTTTACGATGTTGTATGTTTAAGTCTTTTGTTATTATAAGAGTATATGAATTAGGGTTTAGGGTTTAGGGTTTTTATGGTGTGTTGTGCAGATAGTTATCGCTTATTTGTCTTTCGTTTCCTAGAGAAACCCTTTATTTCTTCTTTTTATTGTATAAATAATCAAAGAAATATGCAAAAAGGAGAAAAAGAAGAAAAATATAATCCTTTTCTTGTTACTCTTTTCTCTCTTAATGAACAACAAGCATCTATTGCATGCTGTAATGCTATTAAGGAAACAAGACCCGATCCAGCACTGGTAACTAGGGTTTAGGGTTTAGGGTTTAGGGTTTCATGGGTTCAATTGTGTCTGTACGTCGGGTTTCCTGCTGCTGCTGCTGCTGCTGCTGTATGCATGCTTTCTATGCTTGCTGCTGCAACCGTATCTATGGGGTCAGTATCTGTATTATGCATCTGCTGAATCTTTTATTTCTGCTGCTGCTGCTGCTGTTGTTGCTGTTGTTGTTGTTGCTGCTGCTGCTGCTGCTGCTGTTGCTGCAGTCATCAAAGGAGCAACCGTTCTGTTGGCGAGCAACAGATCCAGACTTTAATGGCTTATTAGTTCTCCGTCCTCGTAGTGATTATAGGAGGGATTTAGCTCCTTATGGTGATTTTGTTTGCGGTGTACGTACGCCTCCTGCTTCTGCTGCTGCTGCAGCAGCAGCAGATGATGATGATGATGAACCGGGTGCTGCTGCTGCTGCTCCCGCTGCACTACTAAGGATAACTGCATCTAGCGATAGCAGCAGACAAGACCCACGAATGTTTCCTGTATTAGATATAGATAAATTAGGAATAATAAATTTAATTCCTTTTTCTTCTTCTTGTGGTTACCAACATGCATCTTTCTCTACTAATAATATTATTCATCCTCTTATACTACAAACTACTAGACAACAAGGACCTCTACCTGCACAAGTCTGTATCTTTCCTTGCCAATCTGCACAATCTCCATTATCTACTTGCGAGGTACGGTTTAGGGTTTAGGGTTTAGGGTTTGGGGTTTAGGGTTTGGGGAGAGCTGCTCAAATGGCTTCTGCACAGTCTCGGTTGGTCTGGTTGCTGTCCTGTTATGGGGGTTTTGTTTCAAGGGTTTAGGGTTTAGGGGTTAGGGTTTTCTTCTTTATTGTTCCTTTTTTTAGGGTTTACCTCTACCTGGGGAAACCCCCGAGGGTTCCCTTTGTGTTTCTCCTTCCTCTGATGGTGACCAAACCCTTTCCTTAACTTTACAAACCCCAAACCCTCAATACTTTTATGCTATTCGTTTTCTTGTTCATCAGTCTGAATCCAGCACGTAAGCTAGAAATTAGGGTTTAGGGTTTAGGGTTTAGGGTTTAGGGTTTCATGCAGATAATACATTTTGGTGTGTATATGCGTGTTGCATACATATAAATAAGTATATTTTCTGGTGTATATGCATCCTGCATGCATGCATACATATAAATAAGAATAAATATATATTATGGTGTATATATACAGGTTATCCTTGTTACTACATTCATCAAGAGGAGGAGATCGTCATGTAACAGAAGTAAATTTACGTAATGGTGTTCCTTTACGTATAAATATACAAGGAGATTGGTATATAAATGATGGATATAAAACTGCCCAATTAGATGGTTCTTCTTTCTTCTCTTCTCCTCCTCTTGTTACTTATCAGCAACAAACAGGAGATCTTCTTTGTACTCTTAATGTTACTAAAGATATTATAGATGATGCGCAACGTACTAATAGGTATAAAAATAGAATTCTAAACCCTAAACCCTAATATCTAAATCATAAACCCTAAACCCTAGGGATTGGTGGGAGGGGATACCGAGGGTTGTTTCACAGTTGTTGTTTAGCGCCTGTGTCTGCGGGTGTGCTTGCTTGAGGGTTTTTCGAGTTTTAGGGTTTAGGGTTTAGGGTTTAGGGTTTAGGGTTTGTGTGTCTGGTTTATTTTTTCAGCCCATTAGGATTACAATTAAGTGTTGTATCTAGTGATCGTCTATTGGAGGTTTTCGTGTTTCCTCCTTTAGGGGGAAAAACATTTGTCTTTGATTGCCGTCGTCTATCTCCATTAAGTATAATAATTAATATAAAAAAAGAAGAAGAAAAGGAAGACAAAAAAGAAGAAAAAGAAGAAAAAGAAGAAAAAGAAATAAATATTCATGATGGTCTTGTTGTATCTCCTGCGCATGCAGTGGGGCTTTGGCGTATTCTTCTTAATACATCTACTAAGGATGCACCTGTATCTGTACAGTTATCTGCATCTGTAGGTATTCTCTTTGACGGCAGCAGCAGCAGCAGCAACAACAACAACAGTATACAGGTGTATAGGCACCCTAACCTCCATACCCTCGAGAAGGAGGCCCTGCATCTTACTGATGGTACTGCTATAGCTAGCGAGATATCCGCAAACCCTAAATCACCAAACCACAGGAAAGTGTTTATCTTCCCTCTTAACTTCAAGCTTAAAACAGGTAAGATATAGTCCTAGGGTTTAGGGTTTAGGGTTTAGGGTTTAGTGTTTAGGGTGTACTAGGGGTTGTTATGGCTTAAAAGGTGTTTTCTAATACAGTGCGATATGGCTTACTAGGGTTTAATAAGGTTCACTGTGTAGGGCGTACTAAGGATATAGGCTTTAGGGTTTAGGGTTTAGGGTTTAGGGTTTAGGGTTTGTGTGGGTGTTTTTTTTTCTCAGTTGGTAGTATAGAGTCTGACCAAACCCTTCGATGTGCAGCGAATAGTTTTGGGTTAACTTCTGTCCGTTTATTTGCTAATTCAATCCTTTATAGTCCTGAGGGTTTAGACAAAGGGTTTAGAGGGTTTACGCAGGATGAGTATACACTTCCTCTACCTGGAGAACCCGGTAAGCATTAGGGTTTAGGGCTTATTAGGGTTTAGGGTTTTAGGGTTTAAGTGTTTTAGACGTTTTTTAGGGAAAAAAGAGATTTTTTTAAGGGAACGAGGGTTTAGGGTTTAGGGTTTAGGGTTTGTGTGCAGGTGCAATATTTTGGCCTGAGCGTGTTGGTTCTGTCTTACCCTCTGTTAGTACAATAGAGTTACGAGGGTTTACTAAACCCTCGTCCTCCCCTGAGGGTTTAGAGGCAGCATATGTTATTATTGCTGAGGGTTATAATGCAACGCATGCAGAGACACCCGAAGTGTTGCATCCTGCTGCTGCACCACCACCAGCCCCTACAACAGGAGCAGCAGCAGCAACAGCAGCAACAGCAGCAGCAGCAACAGCAGGAGAAGCAACAGCAACAGCAGCAGCAGCAATAGGAGAAGAAGAAGAAAAGGATAAATTTACATTAATGTGTAGTTATATGTCTAATGCAATTCCTTTATCTATTGGACAAACAGCAGAAGAATTCCTAAAAAAAGGAGAAAAACGTCTTTTTTTATTAAATCTTATTGATATTAATCATGATTTACTTATTTATCTTACTAGTATGTTCTTGTTGTTGCTGCTGTTGTTGCTGTTACTGTTGCTGCTCCTCCTTCTTGTGTTGTGTGTTTGTTTGCATTAAAAAGATGTTTGCTACTTCGTGTCCTTTTATTTTGTGTCTTCTTTATACATAATTTTTTCTAGGGTTTAGGGTTTAGGGTTTAGGGTTTAGGGTTTAGGGTTTAGGGTTTAGGGTTTGTTGTATGTTCAGATGGTGGTATAGGAGATGCAGATTTATATGTAGGTGTACGTCGTGATATAAATATAGAGGATAAGAAGACATATTTATATAATTCATGTTTATTAGGTGATGATTTTATATTTATATCTAGAGGAAATAATTTATATAAAAAATATTGTAATAAAAGAATTATACAATTATATAATGCATGCAATATATATATACTTGTGCATGCAAATTTAACGGGGCTTTATCGTCTTCTTGTTGATCTACAAAATACTCATCTACAATTCTTATCATTAAATCAAAATACTATTGGTCTTATTCCTCCTCATCTACATAAAACCCTAGTGTTTACGGATCTAGCTCCTGATGTTGATTATCGTCTTACATGTAAGTTCCAAGGGTTTAGGGTTTAGGGTTTAGGGTTTAGGGTTTAGGGTTCTTTGAATTTTTTTTTTTTTTTTTTT